TAGCATAATTAGGCTTGACCTTATGAGCTCCCTAGATCTTATCTGGGAAGCTAATGGGCTGAGGGAGATGTAGCAAGTGCTGTCAAAACAAGTGAAACTCACAAGAGCATTGTAACTATGGTGACCACTACCTTGTTTACCTCTGGCTATAAAATAAAGGCTCAGCTTGCTGTCTGGTTCTCTCTCTGTGGCCTCAGCCAGGCACAGGAAGATCCACCTAGACCCAGCTTATTCTCTTTGTCATTTCTTCATTCCTTCACCACCCTCACTCAGGCTTGTGGAACCCTTGGCTGAGCTGGCTCGGCACAATACAGATAGTATTTAGCAATATGAGAACATGAGCATGAAAATAGGCAAAGAGAATCCTATATAATAAAAGGCTATTATGTAAATTGTCCCCTCGACCAGGAGTTCAACCAGAGGGTGGGGCCGGCGGCCAACCTCCCATATCCCCTCCCCCTGGCCAGCCAGGCCTGATCAGGGCGGGCTGGCCAGACCCCACCCATGCACGAATTCATGCACCGTGCCTCTAGTATGTAGTATAGTTACATATTTCATGAGTGTTGAGCACCTACTATGTACAGATATTACACTTGGGACTGAGGGCACTAAAATGAGTATAACATTTGCTCTTTATAATCTAGTGTTAGAATGACACATAGCAGCAGGCAATTAGTGTGTCATATGTGCCCAAATGGGAGAAATTAAAGTGCTCATGACAGCAGTGGCAAGGTTTTAAGAGCTCAGAGAAAGCTCTCAGAGGAAGTAATGTCTAAGCTGAGGCCTGAGGAACAGGTAGGAGTTAGCCAAATAGAATGAAATAAACTGTGCCAAGCAGAGTAACAGCAAACGCAGAGGTCTGGAAAATAGAGGGAGCACAGGGAATTAAGAAGTACAGCCTTAGAGCTGTTCATTTGCATAAACTGCTTCGAACCCTCTAATTTGGTATTCTAATTTTTGCTTTTCCTAAATAAGGCCTCCTTACCCACCCAACCACCAAATTGTGTAAATTCAGGTCCCAAAAATCTGGATTTGCCCTTACAGAGGAGATTGATCATTCTGTTTCGGCAGCAAAGAATCTATAAGTCCCCTTCAATGTTGGGGGGAAATTCCCTAAATTTTAGTTCCCACTGCAGCATCTTCTTCTATAGAAGCTAATAAGCCAAACTAGTTGAAAAGTTGAACTCGCTTTCTCAACTTCCCTTAGAGTTAAAGGCCTGGACACTTGACCTAGATTCTGCCAATCACATAAATTAGTAGCTAATCGACACAATGCATCAAAAATGACTGTGGTTAATTTTCTCTACATAAAAATAAAATTCCTGTTGCAGTAGAGAAAGAGGTACAAAACTCAGTATTCATTTATTTATTTTTAAAGAATAGTTTATTGGTTTTTTTAGAGAGGGAGAAGAAACATTGATGTGAGAGCAGAACATCGATCAGCTGCCTCTTGCATGCCCCCCACTGGGAATCAAACCCAAAACCTGGGCATGTGTTCTGACCTAGAATCAAACCAGCAACCTCTCTGTGCACAGGATGATGCCCAACCGAGTCACACTGGCCAGGGCCAAAAGTCAGTATTTAATGTTTGACAAGAGTGGCTACGATTTCCTCTCCAGACCAGTTGTGCAGTATAGTTTTGCAATTGATTCTAGCTTTGTGACTCAGATTGACCCTGATTCTCTAGTCCTCTTGTCTATTCTGTGAGCTATACAGTATTCTTCTAATAAAATTCTGAAAACCAGAATCCATCACTATTGTTAATGACCAAGAACCCAAACTGGTAGTATAATAAGCCAGGTGGAGGAGGCAGAATGGAAGGCACTAAGAACGCAATGCTAGGAAAATGGGGACCCTGAAACAGGGCATCAAACTTACACCATCAAGTAGTGTATTCTAAAGCTGAGAAGCCTTGGAAAGTATTCTTCCTAGTGCTCATACTAGATAGATGTGGTTGTGGAGGACAATAAACCAGGGAACCATAGCTGATTTGAAAAAGTGGACTTGCACATCACCTTGATGATCCTAGTCATGAAAATGGATCAAGTAATTGAGCCTTTGGCTGATCTCTCTTTGGGAAATACATGTTTCCCATAGGCATGAACATTTCTGAAAGTGTACCAGTATGTATAGAAGAATGATGTGTATGGGTGATAGTAGGTTGTATCATTCCACCCTTATTCCTTACGATGGACCCCCAATTTTGTTTGCTGTCCATCTTCCCAACGCATGACTAAGTCATTTATGATAATCCTGTTTCTTTGGCCAGCGATTGGTTTAAGGGGTATATGACCAATCTAGCCAATAAACTGTGAAGAGATGTCTGCTTAGGGTGTTCTGGGAACGGCACTCCTGTTGCATTGAGAATAGACTGGAGGGGACAAAGTGAAGCAAAGAGAATGAGAAGAACAATGACCATTCGATAAAATTAAAGGGAGCTCCAATCTTTGAAAATGTCTCTCAAGAAACCCAAGAGGAACAGTTATGAAGGCAGGAGGAGGACAGGAAAGAGTTGGGTACTAAAGTGAAGACAATAGAGAGTTTCAAGAAGAGTGAGTTATAAAAGGTCAAATGCTAGAGAGATCAAGGAAGAGAAGGATAGAAATCTACCAATATGGAAATTGATTACTATTTAGAGATCTTTGCAACAGTAATTTCAGGGTAATAGTAAGGGCAAATGCAATACTAAAAAGGGTTAAAGAATGAATGGAAAGTGAGGAAAGCAGCAGGGTTATAGATTAAGGGTAGTGACAGTAACATCACAAGTGCTTCTCCTTAATAAATACATATTGAATCAATGATTTGATGTTCAAAGGCCAAGTACTGAATGAACTATGCCCCTATTCAGGAGTTCAGTATGACAAAATTATGTTAAGGGATGCATGCCTAGAGAGAGTTCCAGGGGAGGAAAAAACTTTTCCTCACCCTTCTTAATGTCCCTAACTGGGCCTAAAAATCAAATTAATAAGAACCGATTAAAGATGAAAAGAATGCAAATTTATTTAACACAAGTTTTATGTGACATTGGAGCCTTCGTAAGGAAATGAAGACTCAAATGGTTACGCATGAGTGTTTTTATACTAAGTTTGATGAAGAGTGGAAAATTGTGGGGAAAAAGAAGAAAAGGGCATGAGTGAAGGGTAGTAAACTGGGAAAACTCAGAATGGCTTGTTCATTGAGATCCTTCTCAGTGTCTCTCTATCTTCAGAGATAAGAATGCTCCTTTTAAAATGATATTTTGGAAGAATATTACCTGGCATGAGAAAATTAATAAGTGAAAGTAACTTCTGGATATAGAGGTATAGGATTGAAATTTTCCTATATTTTCTGTTTCTCATATTCTGTTAATCAATTAGTCTAATTTCTAACTAGAAATTAGGAAACTTGTTTTAAAAATTATGTTTAATATTATTGCTGAGAACATTTTATTGTTTTCTAATTTCTGGAGCTTTGTAACCCATTGTGTGATGTCTGGAAACTGCCATTTGGCATGGCAGAAAGGAAAAAGGAGAGGATGACATTCTGCAATTCTGACTAATGGAGTTTGTTACGTGAGCATTTACTAACACTATAACTAGCAACATTTTCTGTATATTTGTTCTTAAGAAACATTTGCTTGAAAACATGAGAATTTTCATATGATTTATTTAATAATAAACCAATTGAAGATACAAAAATGTTTAGAGGATTCCAAAATTTAAATTTTTGTTTAAATACAAAGTCACTCTGTAATATGAAAACATATAACATTAGACCTCTAAAGAAAAATCATTTTTTTCATCTACAAAAATTTCTTTCCTATACTAGAAAATAGGCAGAAAACAATTTTTCTTGTGAAATTAAATGTACACTATTTACAGTTGAAAAGTAATCTAAAATTTATTTCAGAAACGTGGATATACATATATATATTATCTTTGTATGCAATTTCCCCCCCACACTCATTTTTAAAAAGATCCAAAATATAAAGCAATTGTGCTTTTATAGCAACTGATCATTCAAACAGATCAACACAACGCTTGGTTGTTTTCTGAGCCTTTAAGAAAGAGTCTAGAGACTCTCTCAGAACAGCGGTGTATCAGTTAGCACTTAGCAATGTATGTTTACTAATGGGCCACAGTGCACAGGGGCCTAAAGAGTTCATGAAGAATTCAGGTTCATAGTAATCTTACAGATAGTAGGAAATTTAATTTTTAGGGCCATTTATTTTTTGGCAATATTTTTGTTGTACTTACATTAGGAAATAAGCTGATGTTTTAATTGATATAATTCTAAAATATAGGAGTTGGAATAATAAATTTAGAACTATAAAGGAAATTGAAGACAATCTAGTCTAATCCAAATGTATTCCTTACTTTCATCAGAGAACTGAAGCCCAGAAAGAACAGTGGCTTGCCCAAGGTTATAAAACTAGTTAGGAGAGCCACTCTTAGATTGATGCTTTCATACTACCCTGCTTCTGAAACAGGTTCAGCCATCATCATGGGCATATTTCAATTTTAATGTTATAGTTTACATTCATAGTTCAATATACTGTGCAGCCAACTAAAAGTCAATCTAGTGAACTCATAATTTTAACAAAGCATAAAATAGGTGTCTTGCATTTGAAAGAGTCAAGACTTAACTTACACAAGTGGAATGAAAATAGTTCCTATATAAGTTTCCTGTTGTCTTCTATTTAAGTACTGTATTTACAACAGAATCAGAAAAGATCAGACATTGTAAAATTTTAAAAGCAACTTTAAAAATGCTTAAGATATAACAACTGAAAAAAAATCTCAAAATAATGTCTTCATAGTATAAAATGCCTGTTTCTTCACAACTGAATTCTGAAACATTTGGCAAACAAAGAGAAACACTTTGGTTTTCCTCCCTCATCTAACAAAGTCAAGACTAACTCATTATTTTTAAAAACTACAAAAAGGAACATCTTTATAATTTTGTCTTAGAATCAGATAGTTTGCATTCAATTGGAAATGTTAAATTAAAAAACAATCATCCATAATTCTTTTGGAATTTTAATTAAAAAGAGTTGGGTTCCAGCAGTTCATTTTGTTTCATAGCTACCTGAGAAGTAAGTCCATTGGAATTGGAAACCACCATCACGTAAGGCTGTGGCTGTTGCTCGGTTTCCTCAGTGTCTTCTTTCAAATCATCTTCGACCTCCTTTTTCTCTACTTCCTGGGTAAGAGTTTTTGTGTCTTGAGCTTTGATAACTGAAGTGATTACAGTGCCAGGTGGGTGGGCAACCAGCTGTGAACTGCGAGGAGAAAATGTCACCACAGGTGTAGCACTGAAGGATGGAGATGAAGCCACGCTGACGGTTCCATTGCAAATGGACTGGACATTACTAGTAAGAACCTGCTGTACATGGGCAGGGCTCAAGACAATCGAAGGAGGAGAGCCCGGCTTCTGAGACTGTAACACAACATTTTCTTTCAGTACTGTCATGGGCTGTGATGATGGAATGGCTTGTAAAATAAATTTCTGAGACCCAGCACCTGACGATGGATCTGTGCTGGCTATAACTGTTGTGATTGGCACTGTCTGGAGTGTTACTGTATGCAAATGCTGATTCCCAGGAGACACGACCACTGGAACTTGGGTTGGAGCCTGTATAGTCCTATTGAGATTAAGGAATAAAAGTGAGAAAATTACCATATTCTACATCATTTAAAACATGAACATTGACAAGTCATTTTGACAAAATAAGAGTTATGCATTTCAGATGCTACATCCCATATTTCCATCACAACATAATTAACATCATGCCAGACTCTGCAGTACACTGTACATACAGAAATACCCAAGAATACCATTAGATAAAATTAAATAACCCAAGGCTTATTAAATAGTTAAATTCAGGCCATTAACTATGAGAGCATCTAGTAAAAAAAAAAAAAAGTGCTACAAAATGCCTACAAAGTGCCAGATTAACACAAATAGGAAAACAATTTTGTTGGGAAAGGAGGAAGATGTCAAAATGTTTGGCAAGAAAGTTATGTGTGAGCTGCTTGAAATAAAATTAGGAATTTTAAAACAAATGTATTAAATCACTCTCATTATTTTAATATTTGAAGAATAACATCATCAAAGTGCTCATCTACAATTACCAAACTTCATCTCTATATATAAAAGCGTAAGCAACCGTTATGACCGAACAACCGGTCGTCCAGTCACTATGATATGCACTGACCACCGTCAGTGCAGACGCTCAACGGAGGAGCTTCCCCCTGGTGGTCAGTGCACTCCCACACCCAACCTCCCATGGCCAGCCAATCTTCCGCAGTCCCTCCCTCCATCTGGCAGGTCCCATCCGTTTCCACCTGAGTGGCCACCACCAGCCACCAGACTTCCAGAGGCGCTAGGCTCTTGGAGCCCCTCCCCCTCCTCATCCATGCCCCTCCCTCTCGCCCCACCTTGCAATACCTGGCTATTTAATCAGGGCGTACACTAGGCCGGCTGCAGCAAGCAGCAGCAGTTGGGTTCTTTTATATCAAAACAGCAAAACACCAAAAAGGAAGTTGAGAGAGGCCCACTCTTTACTACTCAAGCCACATGCAAGCCTGCCTAACACCCCCTAACCATGTGCCTTGCACTAAGTGGAAAATAAATGAGAAGCAGCCAGCATAAAAAAAAAAAAAGAATTATCTGATGAATTTTAAGTTCCTATCATCTACACTAATAAAAGAGAAACATGCAAATTAACCATCATTCTGCCAATCTGCTACACCCACCAGCCAATCAGGAGCAACTATGCAAATTAACCCAACTAAGATGGCAGCGGCCAGGGAGCTGGAGAGAGCAGGAGGCTTGGGTTGCCCCCGGCAATGGAGGAAGCCAAGCTTCCTGCTGGCCCTGGGCTCCGCTCAAGGCTACAAAGTATCAATTATAGAAGATAAATAAATCCCAGATACCTGTTTCCAGGCTGCCCTGGCCTCTGCTCAAGGAGGGGCTGGGGGAAAAAAAAAAAGGAGATGCTGGGAGCTTGGGTCACCGGGAGGCGTGGCCAGCCTGACAACGGCCATCCGCCCCTCACCCAGGCTGGCCAGGCACCCCAGCAGGACCCCCCCACCCTAAAGGGGGTGTGGGTAGCCTGAAAACGGCCATCAGCCCCTCATGGGGTGAGGGTCCCCATGGGGTGAGGGTCCCCACTGGGGGGCTTGACCAGCCTGCAAACAGCCATCAGCCCCTCACCCAGGCTGGCCAGGCAATCCAGTGGGGACCCCCAGCCTGAAGTGGGTGTGGCCAGCCTGAAAACAGCCCTCAGCCCCTCACCCAGGCTGGCCAGGCACTCCAGTGGGGACCCCCA